TACCCGTAATACTCGCGTTCATCTCAGGATATAATGCAGCAAGAGGATTTCTAAATGATATGCCGACATTCTCAAGCCATGGAGTGATCTCGAATCAGCCGCAGTGCGACTCTTAGAGTCGAATCAGCTGAAGAACGCACATGAGTCAATAGGCGCCCCAGAGAGCGGAGGTCAAGAAGTTGTGACATACGGCAGCATTCAAGTCCAGACTCCAGTCTCCGCGCAGAAGGTCAGCTCATCCCCAGTAGAACAGACAATCAGCATATAGTGTAACCAAGGCTGTATGGACCCGCGTTGTTGCGCGTACACTACATCTTGCGTTCATAAGCCCACATATAGAAGCCTAGGGCTTGGCCAGGTTCTCATCGATTGTGTCGTTCAGCGCAAACCGCCAAAACGTCTGTATCACAGTGTTCAGTGAAATCGAGTAGTTCGCATAACCCACGATTTCGACGCACTATATATACAATGCGAACACTGAGTGAGATACGGAAACTACAGTCCATGCGAGTACACTGAAACCTCATCTCGTCCTTCATCAACACCAAGGACAACATCGATGCACCTTTTCAACATCTCGCAATCGTTGCCGAGTGGGGGCAGGCGGTTGGCACGCCGAACTCTCTTCTTCAATTCGTCTTCACCCGCCTCGTGTGCCGCATGCAAGTGATCAGAGTGCACAATCAACACGTCCAATCCTGAAGCCTCGTACTGCATTTCAGACATTTTGGCATCGCAGAGTAGATGCCGCTGATCGTCGAGTGCATAGCTCTTCGGGCCTAGGACAATAATCCCAATTTTGGCACCCCTATGCAGCCAATCTAAGTCGAATTGCTCATGGAGTCTCGGCAAGTACTCAAACCCTCCGCTGTCCTTATGCAATTCATGTTCTAGCTCGATCCCCACTCGAGGGAATCGGTGACACACATTCAGAGCACTGAGGATGTCAGCCAGCAAGCCTTGTAATTTCGGGAAGGTTGTACGAGGGCTTCGTTTCAAGGCAGCTGCTCTTAGCCCCGCTAGGTAGGACGCATCCTTGGGAGAGTCGAGGTCCTCATCTTCGTCTTCGGGTGCCGCTCCATTAGCGACTCCTGAGCTCCCCTCGGCCTCCGAAGTCAGCCGCTCACGTTCAGCACTCTCGACGACCAGCTGCCTCCATGTGTGCTCTCCCAAAATCTGACGAATGTCATAGTTCGCTTCCGAGAGGTGTTCGTTCTGATCATCGATGCCCATAGGCTGCTCTATCTCGTCCGTCCCCACGGATGGTGACTCAGCAAGGGCCAGATTCAGTTCGAATTCATCGGATGGCGCAATCGACCCCGCTCCATCCGGGCCAGCCACGAGGCTTGGATCCCTGCCAATTTCCTTGTCCTCCACGAGAGAGGCGCTCCGCCCGAGACCAGCCTGCTCCAAGAGGCCATCAAGATCCGGGATAGGACCAGATGGGAACATATTGTAGTCGTCTTGCTGGTCTAAAGCCAACAGATGGGCCTTGTACCCCTCCATAACTCCCCTGATACTTGCATCAGCTTGCGGGGCACTCAGAGCCTGCCACAGCATCCCAGACACAGCTCTGTGCTCAAGTACAGTCTCCATCGCCTCCCTGCTGGCCACTGCCATGACGAGCTTCTCCAACTCACCCGTCAACCCGGGCTCCTCATGCCGTCCAGCTTGCCATGCGATGATACCCCAGATGCTTCGTGCTGCCACGCGCGGATGCAAATTCTCGGCAGCATTCACTGCCTTACCCAGGGCAAGGATCAAGCCCTCTGGGGCCACTGCTTGCATCATCGCTCCTGACACCAGAACTCTAGCAGCTACCGAAGGCGCGATCAGTCCGCCCGTATTTTCAAGCCTCGCAGTAAGGGCGTCCAAAGTCTCCGGAAGACCAGTCACTATCCGGGAGTGAGAATGAACTTCACATAGATCTGCCAACTGGGGCGTCGTTAGTCTGTCCAGTCCTCGTTGGTGGAGGAGCTGCAGGAAGGCGACCGTAGTCTGAGGTTCGATCGACGAAAACCGGAGTCTCACAGTGTAGGTCGATGCAGCCATACAGATCTCGTTGAGCGTGAGAGCTTCCTTGTTCTCGAGCGCTAGTCTCGCCGCCTCCCGCATTGCATCCAGGAGCACTGGTTTGGTTTTCCTCGTGGTGAATGATGCCAGACATTCAACAGCTGTCAGCAACATCCGAGCGGTCATCGTACCAGACGTTAGATGGGCCCGTAGAGCCATGTGGAGCTGTGTACCGAGACCATCAGGAGCACCCCATTCTGGTCTTCGACGCCACGAGTTGGGCCATCGATGTAAAGCCCACAGTAAACTAAGCAGATCTGTCGCCTGGACCCCGGCTGAAGGGAGTAATAATAATCTCGGCGACGCCAAGCGCTTCTCTATAGCCTTCACAGTCCAGTCCGGCAGACGCCCGAGCTGCACAAGGGCCATCGAGACCCGACACATTCGGGGGAACGCTGCCTGATCGAGGTTCATGTCCGACGCTAGCCTTCTAGCCAACAGCCGAGCCGGTCCGTCTGCCACCTCTACTTGTAATGGGTGAGGGCAGAGTACGTGTGATTCGAATCGGTGCTTGAGGATAGCCAGTGTGTAGAGGAGAGTGTCTCGATCAGCCAACGAGAGCAGCTCGTAGACCAAGCCGGATTCGAGGGCATGGACCGCCCTAGCACAGTGTTTAGCAGCGAGCTCAACATCGGGGCATGCTTTAAGGGCACCAAGACAAGTGAGGAATTCCGGGACGGACAAGGTAAGCCACGATAAGGACCCAAGGGCCAGCTCCCAGGAGGTAGGCTCCTCTACTTTAGCTAGTGAGAGCAACTCCAACAGGGGGACGAGAGCCTCTAGTCGGACACTACTGGTGACCATCGACGCGAGGATCTGCCATTCGCGATCACCTGGGCAGGTTCCCAGAGCTCTTGCACGGAACAGCCTCACGAGGTTGGCCGGTGAAACCTCATGTACTCGACTGACCGATAGCAGCTCCTCGAAGATGTTGTCGCAGTTCGTGCCGCCGACACTGAGGCCCAACATGGCTGCATAGAAGAGCGTATCGACTGATGACAACTGCATACGATTGGCGACACGAGTCACTAGAGCTTGCATGCGGAGGTCCGGTCTCGTGAGGCCCTCTCGAGATGGTAACGACTCCACTACATCGACGACGTTCTTAACGGCTCGGTCGAGGTCGACATCAGCACTCTTCACTGCTTGATCGAGACACAGGTCGAGCTTGGGGTGAATGAACACTGTAGAAGTCGACTGGACTAGACTCATATCCTTGGCCGTAGGGAGTAGTGGTGGCGCCCTCATGAGCTCACGCTCCATGTCGCGGTGTAGGAAGTCCTGCTCACGTCTCGACAACGGGCGAGGGAAATCCTGCCGGAGGAACGCCTTCCGGTCACCACGAGCGGGAGCAGGCTTGAATGAGGACTTGCTGGCTCGTGGGCGGAATGGTGGGGGCATAGACAATCAATGCTGGAAGGAACATCAGAGCTGGAAACTCAGATCTTGGAAAGTCTTTATTAACTGAGTTTCCAGCTTGACCACTGAGGAAGTTTCCCACTTTCTCAAACAAGCATCACAACGTGCTTGCCGGAGTCACAGGTAGACTCGAGCCTTGGGTCGAACTTATCAGAAGATTCTTTGATGATGGTCGAGAACTATCACAACACAACACTAGTAATCATAGGAGTCCGCAACGACAGGCGAGAAATGAAGTGAATGAACTACTGCCGAAAGGGTACTGAGGGAGAAACCAGTCCCCGACCATGGACCGGCTTCACGAATCACTAATAGAGGAGTGAACATTATGCTGCGTTCATCGTATTCTGTGCAGGCGCTGCGGCGGTGGGCGGTGAAGTTGAGCTCTGAGCAGCTCCTCCTCCTCCTCCGAATGCCTGGTCATGCGTGGTAGTTTCGGGTTGGTTGCCACTGCTTGTCGTGTTACCTACCACTCTGCGTACCTGGCAAAACCGCGTATCGACTTGTTAATGAGTGCTAACGGCTCACGTCCTTCTCGACATCATCCATCGTAACGCCGAGTTGGTTGAATTCCTGCGCTGCGGAACAAGGCCGACAAGACAGGAGACAGAAGTCCTCCAATATTGTACCTACCACAACAACCTGAACTACCATTCGAATTCGGAGAGACTAGCTTACCTTCAACACCGTGTTCCCCTCTCACCTGCTGCCGCGCTGCTATGTTATGACTGCAGTCCGCGAAGCAGGGGCAGAAGCAGTTCATGAGACATGATGGAAAAAAGTCACCAGTGCTAGTCTTCTCACTCAGCATCCCTCGAGCACACGGCATGCAGAAGAAGGAGCCCTGAAGGGGGGAACACCAGGATAGCGCAGTCCAGCGTTGAATGAAGGAGATGTGAAGCTCTAATGGTAATCAAATGCTTACCAAGGCCATCCATGGATCTTTGCACCAATCAGTGAACATACCGTATTTCCAATTGGACTGTTCACCATCAGCAGCATGATAGAGATCTTTAAATGTGGGAACGAACCCTTTGTTGGCCATTATGGAATAACTCTACAGCTGATCTGCACTCAGTCACACTTCATACTGCCAGCTACAACGTATCATTCATTCCTCGGCCTCTTCCCGTTGCGCCATCGCTTCAACACCATGGGATCATATATTGGGCTATTCCAGTGTCAGCGGCGACTCGCTACGTGTGAACTGCAGGTCTTTGAAACATCTTATTAGTTACCATGTATTTTGTCTGTGAATGAGTAGCAGAAGACAGAAGCGATCATCAATCCTACAATCAGCATATGCGACGGCGGCACCCGCTACCTTCTCAACGATTTCAGGCACTATTTAACCCTCTTCTCAAAGTTCTTTTCACCTTTCCCTTACGGTACTTTTGTGCTATCGGTCTCGAGTATATTTTTATCGGAGCACGTGGAGAACAAGGTGCGAAGCTTGAAAGGAAATAACATAATCGCCTTCGAGCTTCCAAATTCGCCATAAAACATTCGAGGCAGACTCGAAGTTCGACTTCGCGTCAATGAGAATTCCAATTCCAAATTTCAAACCTTCAACTAACGATGTAGTGTATCACCACAACGAAGTGTAAGATGAATTTACTCGGGATAAAAGGCATATGTGAAGCATATGCTGTTAGCCAAAGATGTAGAGTATAACTACAAGAGAGAGTGAAGTCATCTTTATTCAACTGTAGGCAAAATTACATCTCGGGCATATACTGCCATCAACGATGTAATGCATCACCCGTAGCACATTATTAATCTAGTAATGCACAGTCAAAGTACTAAGCCACAGAAAGATAAACACTACCAAAAATGTACAAGCATAAATTTAAGTTCAACACGACCTTGTAGAATTATCTCTGCTGTCTGTATCGGAATTAACCCTCAACTCCTTCTCCAACGTCAATTAGTGTACAGTGGTTGGGGTGTTTGTCAGGGTTAGCTGTTGGCAACAGCCTGTTGCTGTGAAACAGCTCCCTGACGCTCCCGACTAGTCGTATATTTGGTGTTTTGTGAATGATTCACTGCCAAGTCCTGAGTGGTATACACTAGTGACTTGGCTTAACTTGTACACCACCGTGACCGTCACGGCGTGACGTACTACCGTAGTACCACTACGACTAGACGAGGGCCCCTGTACTACTAAAAAAATTTTTTTCCATATCGTAGTTGGATCAGAATCACTACACAGGTGCAACCTGTAAGTTACAGGCTGTAACCTCATGGATTTTTATCCGATAATCTGCTACCAACATTAAATTCTTCATGCTCGGAAGCGCGAGTTTGTTGCGCTTCCCGAAGTACGTAACTACCCAATCTGGTGCCACGGTGGCACTGCCACCTATACAAAGTTCAATGCGGCGAGCGCCATTTCCCCCATTGCGTTGTGCAGTCGTTGAACTTGCTCCCTTACAGAACCTTCACTACTTGGAAAAAGTAAAGATGTATATCATCGAGCTTATTACTTATTTCCTAATTTAGTAAGCCGTCTTTCACTTGGTGACTTCCTCTTGTCTTAAATTCCCAAAAAATGGTGTGATCTGCCATTATCCTCCCCTAGGTACATATATTCTGATGCTTGTAGACCCTGTGCTTCGTACTGAGCACGATCGGCTACAGTCGATGGAAAGGCCACGTTGATAACGTGACCGTCACGTCGTGACGTTATAGCCCAATAAGTCGAAAGTACGATAACGAAGTAAACTACTGACCTTTTCGTCACCCAAGAAATAGGCGGCAAGTAGATATACGGGTGGAGTCAATGTATCGCAAATCAAAACAAATGTAGCATAAACGAAGATGTTTGAAACACACGTTCCAAATACTTTTCCGTAGCTATCTGCAACACCCAAGTAGCCTCTTGTGTCCAACGATGAGCACTCTGAGCAATTAAAGTGCGATCGACGTCTTAATAACTGCTTTCCAACGCAGAGCTGAGAAAGGGGCTGGGCAGTAAATCTCTTATTTTCCGTGACATAAACTTGAAATTATAAACTTAAAAATGCTAGCCATTCTAATCGATAGACTGATCTCGGTCGTGATTATCCTCGCAACTGCGACACTGCATCCATAGTAGCATGACTTGGCAAATACTCGTCTGCGTGACCTGAGAATATGTATAAGAAAAAGCTCAAAGCGTAAAATAAACCTACTTTGTAGATGATCATCACACAGATAGTATCTGTCAGATACGGCGTCTTTCTTTAAAGGTACCACCTTTTTTCATCTTTTTTTCATGGGGATAGCGTTTAGAATAATCCTTTTTAGCAGGTTCTTTGCACTTCTTCGGCTTAACGAGAGCTAGGAAAAAATTCTAGTTCAACATAGAAAACAACAGATAAGTCGTTACCTAAAGATAACTCTTTTTTACTACGTTTAAGTGTTGTGTTGCTTGGTTTATGTGCACCTAGTCGGAAAACGAAAAACTTTGCTAAGATAAATTACCAGCATGCTCTACCAGATTTAGAGGGAGGGGCCTCCTCCGAGGAGGTAATTAGTCATGCCCACATCATCTAAATCGTCACAGATGTCTCCAATACCGTAAATATGATGAAGAAAGTCGTGCATCTCTTCCGTTTGTAGCCCACTCGACATTTTGCGACTCCCCAAATTACCTAAAACTATTAATGCAAACGTTATGTATAGCACAACTACCATAAACAACATTGCGTGTATTATCAAGATCTTCTACTAATCCATGGTCTTGTGTTTGACAAGAAGTGTCCGACGGACTTTCAGACGAAGACAAAACATCGTCATCGTGAGCCTCACGACGTGAGGCTCTTCAAAGCCCTTTGTCGCAAGTTCTTGTAATGCAGCTTGTTCTTGAGGTGATGGTTTCGCAAATAACTCAGATTCTAATACAATAAATTGGTAATGATTATGCGCAAAAACACATATTACCGGTTTTGGACAACCTCGTAGTGGAAAAACGTAACAGGAAATCTTTACCTCGTTTTAACAAAGTATCTGTATAAATATAAAACAAAAGAGAATTTGAATTCTACCAATCCGTGGAGCAGACTCAGTTGCTTCTTTGTCGTTGCTTGAAAAATCTTCCGAGGATTCACTCTCATTGTCAGTCTGACAATGTCAGAACTCTGTAGCAAATGTAACGGCGTGGAGGGCGCAGAGTTGGAATTGTGTAAATCTGAAGAACACATAACGGCTTCTGATAATGAAAGAAGATAAGGTCTAAGTCTACGTAAAGTAACTACAATAGAGAAGTAAAAATAATATCCAAAATTTGAAACGAACGTGTAATCTTACATAAATGACGAAGAATCGTGCTTAGCACAAATTTACCTTGGAATAACATTTGGTCCTCTTGAGTTTTCCGTTGGCGAATTGCCAATAACGACAAGATTACCTACGTTCAGAAACGCGACGAGTAGGCATCATGAACATCATTCTCGTCATCTGCATGTAAACCTAAAATGCGCTTTCACATATGAGGTAACAAACGCACATCGCTAATTATAATAGCCGAAAAAGTTTATCCTACATAGGAAGTTTATAACGTGAACGATAAAATCGGTAAAAAGCATATTACTGTGAACGTTGTTGACAGAGACATGTTCATTAATCGGTGTAGCAGTCGTCACCTTGAAAGAGTCATTGCATTCACTTCCTGGAGGAAAATAAAAAGATGTCTAGTATGTCTAAGGCATATACTGCCAGTTGATGACATATACAAACGACGAACGATGTGAGCAACCTTGGGTGTGTACACTAATGACTAATTAAAAGGGTTGAGTTACCTTGTATGATATTCCGTGAACTTAAGCTGTCTTCTTCTGTAAATGTACAGCTAGCAGAACTTGAAGTATGAGATTTGCGTTCTGGAGTGTTTTGACACCTTTTCTGAATGGGATTAGGTTTAGTAGAAGAAATATCGTGACCTAAAAATTAAGCAGTAATTGAGGAAAGCGACGAAAAGAAATGAACACCAGTTGTCCTATAAAGGAAGTTTAAAACATGATCGGAGACATAGGTAAACACCATATTACTGTGAACGTTGTTAACAGAGGCATGTTCATTAAACGGCGTAGCAGTCGTCACCCCTAAAAAGTCATTGCATTCACCATTTACAAGTGAAGAAAATACCACGTGATGATGTTAGCACCAGTAAACACCTACCAAATGTAGACGGCATATTGTTTTTACGCCTCATTATTTTAAGACCTAACCATGAATAGTAGGTTGAAAAAATGTAAGTATATTTTATGTAAAGGGGTACGCCGTGAGGTCCCTTCTTTCTCGCCGTGTTGGTTTGAACTATTACCGTCTGAAAGTACTGAGTAAAAGCAGTTATCTTGTATGATATTATGTGAACTTAAGCTGTCTTCTTCTGTAAATGTACAACTAGCAGAACTTGAGGTATAAGATTTGCGTTCTGAACTGTTCCGACGCCGTTTTTGGATGGGATTAGGTTCAACAGAAGAAATATCGTCACCTAAACAATTAGCACAAATTGAGGGAATGAACGCGAGAAATGAACATCAGTTGCTATAAATTTCCAAAAATAAATGACAAAGTCTATATATAAGTACTAGTTGAGGAAGAAGAGTATCACTCTGGACGCTCTGGAGTCCAGAGTCTGGACGTAACCTCTTCGTTCGCAGGCAACACAGTGGCAACAGAAGCTCTTACAAGACTGTGTGTATGATGTAAATCTAGAAATGATAACAGTGAAAACCAGAATATAAACTACTGGAACTACCTGTTGCAGACTGCGTACTTTTTCGCAATGATATATCTTTGACATCTACAAAAGGCATGAAATTGATACGTGGTTTACAGAATGTATCACCTTCAAAAATCCGAGACGAACATCCTGTGTGTTTCTCAGAGTGACTGAAACTATCATTGTCTGAAGTCAAATACAAGTAGCAGTTATGCTAAGAATGATATAAACTACATTGTAACACTTCGTTCTCGGGATGACTATCCTGCCCAACAGAAGTAATATCATTGTCTACAAACGATAAGAGTAAAACAAATACGCTCCGAAGAACATTGCTATAGTTCGTATATTTGTGATTAGAGCTTTCACTTAATCCGTGAGTTGTAGAATTGTGCGACTTCGCTTTTGTGTCCACGTGATACACATCATCTTGTGCCAGAGCGATCTGTAGTAGCTCTAAAGAACAAAAAGTAAACGGCATACCCGAGATAAACACAAAGATAAGAGCTTACGTTCATCTGAACGATTAGCTTCTTCCTCATTTACACTGTATTCACTACTTTCAACTTGCGAGTCATCCACAACGTTACGAAAGCACTCGTCAATATAGGACATTTGTTTTGCATCTACAAAATAACGTGTTTATCTCGGGTATGCCATAAATAACATTGCGTGTATTATTAAGATCTTCTACTAATCCATGGTCTTGTGTTTGACAAGAGGTTTCCGACGCACTTTCAGACGTGACGCTTGACTATTGTAGTCAGCTAAATGGGAGTTTGAGAGGATGGATTCTGAAGAGAAAAAGGGAAAATGTGGGGTGAAGAATCGTACATGTGAACGGCGATGACCCATGAGATACTTCAGGGCACCGTGCGGCGCCTCGGCAGCGTTGTTTGTCCTATGTCGCGTTCCCGCTGGAGGCTCCAGCCTGGAGCCGACCAGTATAATATACCGATAGGAAATAAGGGACCAATTGAAACCGCGAGCTTCTACACCCGAGAGAAGCAGAGCGACCTCAGAAATTGTAGCACCTCATACTTCCACTGCTTCCTGTTCCACTGAGAAGGAACAGGATGGCCTGCTCTCGAACCTGAATGGGCTCTCCATGACTTGGGATCGAACGTAAGGTCGTTCGGAGAGATTCTCCTGAACCATTCATTTCTACTGAATCCGTATCAACGCCGACCGACATAATCCGACTCTGTCGAGTCTGCTATCGGCAGCAAGACATGTAGATCATACTTTTCGGCGAGCTCTTGAGTTCTGCCGACTGAACCGTCTTCCTGCTGATGAGGGATCTGAGTAGAAGATTGAACGTCTCTCATCCACGGTCTCATGATACTAGACCTCTGAGAGCACGACCCCTCACCTTCCCGTCCTTGTCGACGACAAGTTGCCGTACTCCTCGATCTCCTCGACTTCCTTATCCCCTTCTTTCTCGATGTCGCGTGACGATCGACATCTCGCGAGGTGCTCGACACACCAGGAATGAAATGGTTCCCCCGTCCGCCGGCAATGGGCTCTCATGTGCTTCAGACTGGACTCACGGACAGCAAGACCCAGAATTATCGGTTTGAGGAAATGACTCCTCTCGAGGAGAATATGGGAGAATGTTTGGCTTACTTTTTCTTCTTCTGTGAAAGGGACTATGAAATGTTCTTGACAATCATCGCAGGTTTCCAGATAGAACCCGCTGATTCGTTGCTGTGTCTGAGGTGTCTGCAAAGTTTGATTGCAGACAGGGCAGGTTCTATCCGGGGAATCTTGTTGAGTCTTGTTGTGTCTGAAGAGCCCTGTGGGTCTCTTC